AAAAGCCGAGCTTTCTGTATGGAGTTGCTCATAGACACTCCCCATCAACCTCAAACAAGCACAAACATATGTTTACAATTGACATCAACTCACTGCTTCAAACCAGTTGCCCCTGAAAAAAAACTTGTAAGATGCAGATTAAAACAAGATTACCTTAACTATAACTTTATATTATCGAATGGTAAGCTTATTATCTATTAGTCATGGCTGCCGAGAAGCGTGAGTCAACCAACATACTAAAGACTTCTGGAAAAACACACAAGAGGTGTCATCGAAGATTGTCTGGGCTCCCTCGCTCCGCAGATGACCCATAATACCAGAATCCCCCTCCTCAACTCTTCTAAAGCATATTTCCTAAAACGGGAACTGCATAAACTTTCCAGATGAGTACATAGAATGAGAAAAAGAAATCTATTCAAGATCCTACAGACAGAATATGATTAAAGGCTGAACCATTTTATAACTGACGCAAGTTACAGAAACAGATACGTGCAGAACACATTAAAGTACATGAAAGCATTCTGTGGTGCAGAAAATTGAGAGAAAAAAAAGTTGAGGTGTACAAAAAAAGACTGGGCAGAGAGATAGACCGAAAGATGAAAAGTGAGAAGTGAGATCAGTCATTCAGTCTTGGGACCAGAGTGTGAGGGAAAGCATGAGGTTAGGTGAGCTCACAGCCTCCCCCTAACTTTGTATCAGCAGCGCAAGATGATTTTCCACAAATCAACTCGCACATATTGCTGGGTAAAATCGTGGATCTATACCATTAGGAATTGAACAAACATCACATTGCGGGAATAATGATCAGTGAATTTACATAACCCACACTTCAAAGAATCAGAATCATTTTTATTGCCATGTAAGTCACAGACTAGGAAAAGCACAGGCAATGTGAAGTATCACAATATTTAATGCTGCAATCTCTCAAATTTTTTTTTTTTTTTTTTTCAAATTTAGAGTGAAGGAGACATTTGTTAAATACAAGCACCAGTTAGACCTGCCCCCACAGCTTTGTGATTGGACCCACCAAATTCAAATCCAAGATAGACAACCGAGGCCCCTCATTGGTCCAACTATTCTCCTCCAACAAATCTTACTGGTGATGGTTATGCCAGGGGGGGGGGGTATATCTATTAGGAAAAGTACTTCATATAGATGATACTACATGATCATAAGGTAAAAATATACTATTGAAAATTAAATACAATTCATCACATTGTTAGCCAATCTCCAATATAGAGGCCCAATTTAACACACTCTCAATACAAACTCCGTCAGCATTCAAAAAGCTAGGACATTGTGGCAGTCAAACTTTGGTTCATAACAGTCATCCTGCTCCATCTTCATCCTGGGAGAGGTAGCAAGTGCGCATGCTTAGACAACCCATGAATCACAGAAAGGCTTTAATGCCTAATTGGCTGCATGCACTATTAAGCACGGCCCATTGACTTGTATTGAAAAACCAAATTGTAAATATTCATCTAAAAAGTGAAATGCTGCCAGAAACGCTGGTGTACCATTGCTTTTCTTTGCACACATTGCACCAGGAAGTGACACATGAAGTGCAACAATGGCTCCTCCGTCCTTCATGCATCACTCAGCGAGCATTATAACTCAGTCATTACATTCACAGAGACTCGATGAGCCCCAAGACAAACAGAAGTGCATGAATGAGCTTGGAGATATAATAACGTGTGATGATGTGGTTGAAACTGTAATGCTCTGTAAAGTTTTAGGTCTGATCATGTTCAGGTCAGTTACTAAGTGGACCACAACTCATCATGACAGTTAAGGACATAGTAGATAACTATAAAGGATAGCTAGTTAGAAGAGAACATTATCTTGACAGTAAATATTCTTCATGGAGCATTTTTGGTTAAAAATGAAAGGAATCTCAATATACAACCAACTTTTGTTTTATAATAATCCCAGACATCTACTAGGGCTCATTCTCATTAAATCTCAGAAGTAAACGGTCATTGCTGGGACTACTAGGAGCTTCTATGCTGTGTCCTTAGGCAAGACACTTCAACCACAGACTAACATTAGCTTAGCACTAACACGGAATTAATGGATGATGAGCTGTTGCTGCACAATTTAGCTCTTTCAATGTGCTTTACAGACAAAAACATCAAAGTGTAAAGAAAAATATTATTATTCAAGCTGTTGTTTTTGGTCAGTTTGGTATTCACCTGTTCACAGGGTATATGTCATCGAGGGTTTGCATGTGTGCTAAAGCGATTAGCTTCCCTTAACATTGGAGCAAACTCATTGAAGACACCCGCAATGATAGAAATAAAACACTATGATAGCAATGAATATTCCCCTAGTGAAAATTTTAGCCATAGGTTAGTCTTTATGTGAGGGGTCCAGTGCTCAGCAACATTAAGCTCAAATATAGATATGTTTGGCCTCATATTATAGCTACAGACATCTAATTTCCATCTGTAGTCTCTGAAGAAAGACATGTAGACCTTAAAAGAGTTTAAATCCGTTCAACTTTACGGACACACATGTGTCAGAGTCACTGCTGCTTCCAAAAAGGCATCGGGGACCTTTTACGAGTTTATGTAATGTTGCAGAGACATCACACATAGACACACATCACTAAAATCCTACTATCTACCCCCCTTTCTGTGAACAAGAGGTTTTTCTACAGCTGGGTAACAAAGCATGACCCAATAATCCTAAAGCCTGACTCAAAGCTAAAGGAACCCCCTCCCTTCTGCCTAGACTTATATCCCTTCCTCCCGCTCTCTGAGGACTTTATAAGGCATGGGCAAAAAGGGGTTAACCAACACAAATACGCTTAACTGTGATTTTTCCAATTATGAGTTGGAGCCAGGAGAATAAACAGAGGAGGTTTTGGGGTCACCAGAAAGATGATATCTGACATTCTCATCATACAGACCATGCAAATGTCCTTTACAGTATGTGAATTAGGGCTGCAATTATTACTATTATGATCATTGATTAATTGGGGGATTAATCAATAGATTTTTTGAATCGTTGTTTAGATCAGGGACAGCACCAAAATCTGGCCCATTTACATTGTTTGAAGTTTGTTCAAATTGTACCTTTATCAAATAATAAATAATAATAACTATGATAATAATAATAATATGATGTAATCTCGCCGCACCCACAAAAAAAAGGACCAAGCTATTTGTGTTCATGTGTGTGCTGGAAGTATAGTTTTATGGGGGGACATATTGTGATGTTACATAGTCACACAGTTGGCCACTATTTTACTGCCAAAGACTGCGAACCCAATATTGAGATGCACACAACCACAATAAAAACGGCACCTATAACTAACGCCCAATTCATATCAGAATTACTGTAAAGTGGCAACCTTCAATTACATAAACAAGTACTCGATAGGTTATTAAATGTAATTACAGCAAACAGGATGCATTTGATTATACAATGGTAGGAATGCATTGTGGAGCAAAACTATTGAGATACCATGCTTGAAACCATGCATCATAAGCATGCATGTGTCAGCACGCTGCCTTGTCTTCGCAGCCAGGTCCTATTACAAGCTACACGGCCCATCTCACATTCTGGAAAAAAAAAAAAAACCCAGTAGTACCGCTCTGTGAAGTGAGTTGTCATGTCAGGCAACTGCAGTACTGTATACAAGTTTGTGACACAATCATAATAAATGCATCGTTGTATAAGAGAAAACATGACAACAGCTCTTGCTCGGGAAGTCATGAGTAAGCATTTTCCAGAAGTTTAGAAAGACCAACTCAAGGCTTATCTGTGCATTGCTACTCAGCTCATGTTCCGTTTTGTTGACAGAAAGACAAAACCTTATGTCTGACTGTTATGATTGACCTTGAGGGAAGATTGGAACAGTACAGGTGTTGCAGGTAAGACTGGAGTGTTTGCTTTCAGGCTTCAATGCTGCTGCCAAAAGTTGTTCATGCAAATACACAAAAGCACCAATTATTACATAACATGCCTTAAACGTCTATCGAGTCAGCTCAACTAGTGTCTCAATTATAGTCTACTTTTCCCCAAAAATGTGCAAAGCAGAGCACTCGATTACAGCTCTCTAAGCTCTATTACATTAGTATTAGATAGTCTGGGTCAAGTTACTAAGAAAACATGAAAGTTCTCCACAACACAATTACTAGTTGAAGAAGTATAGCTCATTCCTTCTTGACTATTCCGGTCTGTACCAAAACTGACAAGATAGCAGATCTCACAAACTTGACAAACGTGTTAGTTATGTAGAAACACTTCCACACAAGCATCAACCCTCCTGTTCATTAGATTTTGGGGCTTGAATCAATGAGCAGCTAAAGGTTGCAATTAGATCCAGCAGTCCCCCTGAAAAGGCAGTAGCCACCAGTTTTCAGCTATTCCCCAGATACCCTGGAGCAACGTGAAACCCCCTAGACAAGCTCCAGTGGTTCTTGCTGCCATCTGGTCTTAGAAAAATCCTTGTGGTGATGCATTAAGAGCTGCTTTTTGCCTAACCATTGGCTTCATCCCATCAATTTTACCCGGTGCCTGCACTCGTTCTGTGGCTGTGGGTGCGAACCTAATGAGTGCGTGGAAGAGATGGGGAGCTCTGCGGAATGGCCCTTTGTTTAGAAACAGACCCTTCTCTGCAGAGCTGGAAATGCGAGACGCGTATCGATCATTTCAACTTGGAAACCTTTTGTGCAGCCAGGCTTCCAACCAATTCAACTAAACAAATACATTCACGTTTTAGGAAAATACATAAACTTCGTGAGAGAACCGAAACATAAACAACCCGTGTTCTCCACACTGGCGGCGATCGAGTACCCTCTTTGTCCGCTCCAACCAGTACAGCAGCAGCAAATAAACATAAAGCGCTGGAAGGATTTTTGGGATTAACGTTGGATTAATCATAATAAGAGACCCAATAACCGCCTTTGTTCCTCGCCTAAGCTCATGTGGAGTTGCGAAAAACGACTTTTCCAAAACAGAAACGCGCACAAACAGAATGCTCCGACTCTACATCACAGGGTCCTATTGTATCCGCGTCTGTCAGCCTGCGTCCTCCGCGCCTCCCCCTGCTCCTCTTCGGACTTCAGACGGAGCCTGAGGGGCACACAGTCCCCAAAACACATGGCCCGGTGCGGGGTACCTTCACCGAAGCACACGGGTCTGTGGTGCACAAGGGGGAAAGGCACCAGCAGAGCCCCGGCACAAAAGAGCCCTTTAATATTTAAACAGGGGCTGGTTGATCGCGCTAGCGAAGCATAACTGCGCTTCCCCTTTTTGCAAGTCGATTTGAGCCCAAAATAACGAAATGTTCCACTGGAAAGCTGGTTCACTCGAGTGCGCAAAATGTGCGCGTTCATCTGTCGCCAAGATAGACGCTTCGCATAGTTTCCACCACGGCAAGGAAAACTTCAATCAATCATTCCAGTAAAGGTCCACAGCAGCGGAGACTCAACATTCCGCGGCGTTGAAGCCCAAAAAAGAACTCTTCAAAACACTTCATCGCACTTACCAACTTGTAAAACGTTTTCCACACATCCCGTCTCTAGGAGTCTGATACCGCGGCGAAATGGTAGTCCGTCCCCGGTCCCCACAGAGCCAGTTGCCCCCGTGGAGGCTGCCGTAGCCGGGGTAGACCCTCCAGCAGCTCCGGGAGCTGGAGCCGCGGAAGCCGTAGTCCCAGTTCCGCTGGGAGCCACCACAGAGCCGTCCTCTCCAGCGGCTCTGCACTGAAACGAAGAGTACATGCATATCTCCTTCTCGTTCCGGGGAAAAGACCAGTAGACTATGCGGCGCTGGACGGGCTCCGGAATCCGCTCAAAGCGCTCCTCCACTCGCTCAAAGGCCCACTTCTCCGCTACTGCCTTCGCCGCGCAGTCCAGCAGAGACTCCGGGGAGCGGTACCTGGAGTTCGTTAAACCGCTGCCATGGCCCGGCCCCGGCCCGGGACCTCGGGGAGCGGGGCGCAGACACGGGCGCTTGGTGGCTGGCGGCGAGGAGAGGAGGGGATGGGGCTGTTCTCGGCGTCCTTCCGCCATGGCGAGCTGTTCAACACTGGCGAGACGAGGCTGCGCGGACTGAGCAGCAGGAAGCAGCCACGCACACACACGCGCACGCATCGACACGTGCACGCACACACGCAAGAGCACTGACACCACGCGGCCAGCTGTACACACAACTCAACACTACACATCCGGCCATGTCCTTCGAATTAATGGATATCATGGTACCACTATAGAGTCTAGAACAGGGGTCGGTAAACTTATTATCAAAAGAACCATCTCCCTCTTCTGCCAAAGATAAACAGTTCAGAGCAGCAAAAACTCATGTTTCTCACTTTTAAAGTTGTTATTTTTCATTATAACGTTCCCATTACAACCATTGAACAAACATTATAGGCCTACATTGCAAGAATGCAACTGGGCATATTGTGACATTTGTGGATCATGATGCACCATCGTGGTACAATTCATTATTACATTCCTAATTTATAGAAATGATATAAAAACATGAATTACTTATTGTTGGCAATACCAAAAAGCCAGTACAAGGAGGCTGTAGAGCTAGGTGTCTAGTAGAACATCAGTAGGAAATAATATATTCTGTGGCCAAGTGATGGCTGTTTTGTAAAAGAAATCTCAATTTTGTCAATAATAATTACCATTAATTGTATAAAGTTCTGTTGATCACGTATTCATGAGGAGCAGGTGCATGATTAGCAATTAAATGTATCTATGGTATTGAAGGTATGGAATTGATCCCGCTCTTATTGTGTGAGTAGAGTGCTGTGTGTGTACTTCCTGTTGCTTACACTTTACTAGACAAAGTGCAGACAGGAGAGAGAGGCAGAGGGGGCTGTGCGCGTCTGATTGATGGGTGCTAGAGGATGTTACACGTCACACCTCACAATAACAAAACACTCCTCTCTGTCTCTCATCAACGGCATGAGCTCGGATCAGCCCATCCCTCTCATGACACCAGGGGTGGACTGGGACTAACATATTCTTGGACTCTGGTCAGTCCTGGCCCCTGGCCCATTAAAATGTGGGTATTAAAATGCAACAACTGTTTTATTATTTAATGTGAGACAATTTCAATCTGGAAAAACTCAACACAAATATTAATTATAATGATATATATTGGCATCAATATATTACAATATATATGTATAACGATTTGACTCAACAGGCGCTTGATGTGTGGTAATATATTTATTTGAACATTTGATCATGAAATGTTAATTGAGGTTTGGTGATTAGACCCTGGCAGAAAAATTGCATGACTTTAATCTAGAATATGATCCTGCAAACCCCCCTGGTCTAGATCCTGGTGGTGGAAGCTGAGCTGATAACGATGGGGAGGAGGAGGGTTGCTGCATGAACAGCCGATAGAGGGTGCAGGACTGAGAGGTCATGTTTAAATGCAGCTGTGAAAAGATGATGAGCTCAGGCGCAGGTGTGTAGCAGAGGGAGAACTGTACAGCAGGTGAGATAGTGAGCACTGAGAACCAGATCCGTCGTCTGAATTTCTACTTTAGCAGCATTATTTCTCACACTGCTTAGGACCATTGGAGAGCCACTGCTTCAAAACATTCAAACTTTTAAAACACTTAAAGCTGCACTAACTCACTTAGTGAAATTTTCGAATGTGAGCGCTGCCCTCGCTCTTTCTGCTCGCCCTCCCCTCACTCACGGAGCTATCGCCCCCCACTACCCCCCTCCCACTCAGCCTGTGGTTATGTGTTTACGGAGCTCACGTCTCACAATATGGATCGCACATTTGAACATAGATGACCATAGAATGATAGAACCGGGAAGCGCGGAGGAACAAGACTTTCTTTTGGATGCCTGTTTCGCTGTCGAAGCAGTAACTGGTAACGAAGACACAGGCAGTAGTGTATAGTCGTGCGGCGTGGACCTTATGGTGGTGACGTGACGTCACTTGCGCAACACGTGGATCACTGCAAGGCCATTACGTTGCCTGCCGCGCACCCTCAATTTCTAACTAAGTAAGGGTCGCCGCAAGGAAGCTCTGCTATGATTGGTCCGTGTGTGTGTATTGGAAGGAAGCACGGAGCGGCTGCAGGAGCATGGACGAGGCACTATGGAGCAGACTGCTTTGTGCTTCGAAGGAACCGAAGGAAAAGTAGTTTGGGCTCAGAGCCTGATATACGAGGAGACTGTGGACTGTTCAGTTCTGTTGGATATCTAACATATATATAACTTATAAACTGTGCAGTCGTTTGTTTTGCGCTGTTCCTGTCTTTGTTTAAATCGTAGCTTATCGCGTCTGTTGCATTCCTCCTGCACTTGTAAATAGTTCATATTTGTCTCAGATATTTACCACTTATTGTTTTGCTGTTTGTGCTGAATACACTTTAATAATAACTATTTTCCAACAAGAACTGTGTCTTTATTCACAGCATCACAGTTAAATGAGTTGAAACGATGAGTCTAGAACTATCACATAAACCTGCAGTAGAAACCCATGTAATGATCTCAAACAGCTTCACTATTGCTTGCTTGCAATTGACGTCACGTCCGCCTCATTACATATGCGTATCACATACTGGTGGTCAGCAGAGCTAGTTGTTCACTAGAGCAGCGTGTCTGAATATGCCTTTTGCATGTGTTGTTTTAAGTTTTCTTACCGATCGAATCGTGAAACCTTTATGGATACTTTAGGATTCCTTGTGAAGAGATGAATAAAGAGCCTCGCACTATGGACTTTACGAAAACACGCAGGAAAAGTGGCTCGCTAACATTTCACTAGCAGGCGCTTTTACCTCTAAGGATTATTTATTTACCCAGCCATGGAGTCACAATGCTTAGTTATTACATCCCCATCTTTATTTCATTCATTGACAGGTATGAGTTAGCGTTTTGAATAAACACTGTGAATGTTTGACCTGAAAAGAACACAGCCACAGACGCATTGTTTTGTTGAGAATGATAAGTTCATTCACCAATCCTTACTTACACGGCTCTGTACGATGCAGGATGTGTCCTTCAGGACCTCAACTCTGAGTTCTTAAACCCACAGACAGACGGAAAAGTTGCAGCATCCATGTTTATCCAACCCTTCATTTGTTTAGCAGTGCAAAAGCTTGACTGTAACACTAGCTGTGGATTAGAATCTAAAGTGAATAAAAAGACAGTCTAGGATCTTGTCTTTAATTCAGACAGAAGACATTTTTTATTGTCGATGGTAAAGGCAGCATAAACAAAGACGTTACAGAATGTAAGTGACATACAGCGGAGGAATGGAGACTTATTAGCATTATTAGCATATTAGCATTTACCGCTGTGCCAGTAGCTTCAACCTTGATATTACCAAAACATGTAGTGGAAAAATTCTGCCTTGTGCATATTGTTAGAATGATGAGTTAGAACGTTCACCACAGTAGCTTCAAAGTGTCATGAAATATCCAAAAAAGCAAAAAATACTCGGAAGAGTCGCATTTTCTTCATATATCAGCAGCAACTCTTGCTGGCCTGACCACCACTCCGTCAACCGGAAGTTTATGCGTCACGTGATTGCAAGCAAGCAATTGTTTTTGTTCTGAAGAGGAAAAGGTAGCAGCACAAATGGGACCGCTTTGGTTAGGCAACTCCTTTGAGGTCGCCATCACGTGGTTGGTTGTTGGATTACAACATTCGGGGAACGCGCAAGTGTACCACAAACTGTGGTTACGTAGGTCCAACGTAACCGCAACCGTAAGCAGCGCCGCGCGAGTGTACACAGGCCTTTAGCCTTCGCCGCTTGTTTACCTCAGCTGTCTGTGCTAACAAGAGACTTGTAGCTTTGTTAGTATTAGATAGCAATATGGCCTACGTGCAGGACTGTACAAGGACTCTGATTATTTTGACTATGATGTGACTGTCTCTGTGAGACACGTACGTCTTTCGATGTGTGACGTGACAATGACTATAAAAACTGTGTACTGACTCCATTCTGTCTGAGAGAAAGAAACAATGGAAACCACTGGAACTTGAGAGAAACTTAAATAAACTTCCAGAGTTTGGCGCACCACGATCCGTCTCTGTCTGGTTCATTCCTGACAGATTTTCTCAAGAAAGCGGGGGCCAGTGATCCGCTGTGATTGGTCACAATCTGGTCCCGAAACAAATTGTCTTCCTTGTTGCACAAAAACTCGATCTAAAATGAAATGACACGCCAGCACAGATCTGCGCTACTTTTTCTTCAAAAGGATATATATCCCTGTTATGGATTGAATTTTTGTAATGAATACAAAAATAAAGTGAGGTAGTGCAGCTTTAACTTTCCAAAATGTTTGCTCTTGTGACACACATGGAACTCTTTTTTGGCAAGTCCCTGACAGTCAGTTTCAGAATGCACTTATGACCAGTGCACACTCAAGCAGGCAGTCAAACATGATCAATAAAGCATTCTTGATACATATAATGTATGAACCGCAGTCCTAAAGAGTCCTACCTCAAACAACCCACTGATTACACATGTTTGAAAGACTCAATGAACCGCAGAATGGATAGACAAGAAATTTTTCACATTTTGTTACTGAACTCAACACCAGACAAGAAATGTTTCACATTTTGTTACTGAGCTCAACACCACCTGGTTAAGCCCTTAAACGCTCAGCATGCATTTCAAAGCAATAAAAAACAATGGCAAATTGCCTTTGAAATAACAAAGTTTGCATATTTAACTTAGGCGTTGATAATGACCCCTGCTCTCCCTAACACATCACAATACCCTACTGTCCTGCAACTTAATTTGCACCATTATGTGTCATTTACATATCAATTACCACAAAAGAGCAAATAAACATCCCTTCAAAGAGCCAGGTCACACCACCACAAATGTTCTCAACCAAAGACACGGAAGTTGGTGCTATATTAAAGAAGTTATACCCATTTTTTCTTCTTCTAATTAGTTCATAAAAATGTTTACAACTACATACAAGTTGTATTGTAATAAAACTTGAGCTCATTGATTCAGCTTGTGTATGAATTCAGGCTGTATAAAAGTGGTAGAGACTTAGAGCGTGACGCCCGCT